AGAACGGTTTTGGATCAGTTGAGTTGACACGTGTTGGTGTGCGGTCATCAGAAGGAGGGGTAGTCACTTGCTCTACTGTGGTCACACCACACCAACCGTCAAATTATAATATGGATGACCGCTGTCATGGCTTTTCTAATAAACGTGGTAGACTGAGGAATCGATTATACCTCTTTCACTTGTGACTTCATTAGCCAACTATGGTCCAACACCCGACATGTGAACTTTGCCAATTTCAGTAAGGGGAACGTACATGAGCGTTTCGTGAAGCAGCGGAATGAGATTGAAAACGAACAGGCGGTACAACACAATGTGTCCCACAAGAACTCGAATCGCTTGATTACTGATGCGTAGTCACATCCATCAAAGAGACGTTGAAGAAAGGGATTTAATCAACATGCTTCGGCGTTCGCAGATTTCTAACCTTATCTGGCAACACCGACAATAGACACGGTCGAAGGCTTAGAACACAGATCCGGTTCAACACTGCCTAGACAGATCGATGGAGATCCGGAACACCCCACTGTCGGTCGCGTCCTTCCTGGAGGTCATCAGGCCTCGAATTTCCATGAAGCTTATTTCGTTCTTCAAGTTCATTGTACCTGTCTTCATTCTGATTCATCCACCAGGCGCCACACATTGTCACTCGGATAATTGTGGACCAGTTGGAGACTGAATACCGACGCGCGTCCTATATGGACCGTTAACTTCAAAAGTGCCTTTACTCAGCATACAGTACTATCAGATTGTCTTGGGGTGTCGAAGTTTTCAACAGCCTTATGTCTATACGTGCATCGCGATACTAACTGAAACGTGAATTGGCCTGGTGCAGCACATCCAGTTGCCTAAAAGCGTCATAAACGAGAGATTCAGCTGACTTTCAGGCGAGTCTCCTGTCACAACCAAATTTGTATGTAGATGAATGTAGTTCGCTAATTTCGTGCAATTCGGGTTCAAGTAAAACATAAGGTTGACGGAAACTCGGGGACTGTGCCTGCCTGATGAGCTCAAAGAAAGA